GTGTGTGTGTGTGTGTGTGTGTGTGTGTGTGTGTGTGCTTGTTCAGCGACTCCTGTTGGCATCGTGGTGGTGAGAGGAGACTGTGACCTGGAAACCTGTCGACTGTACATTGACAGACTGCAGGAGGTGAGCGCTTCCCATGATGCTGCTGTCAGATTAATTTAATTGAGCACTCAATCAATACGATTACTGACACAACCGCTGGCACTTACAACTGAATTTTGTTTGTCATCCTGTAGTGTTTAATTATTTCGGGGTCAACATTTAACCTCAAATCTAACCACAGTTTTGTCGCCATCATGTTATAAATTCTTGCACTCACACATTTGTCTGGTGTTGACAGGATTTGCATCAGGCGCCCTCTACTGGTCACATAGTGCACTACCAGGTGAAGGCCTCGACAGCATTGGACAAAATTCAAAACACAAGATGCTGAATTGGAATTCATCGAATTGCAATTCAAAGAAATACAGAGAAGAGATTAATTCATTATTCATAAAAAATAATTATGCCTAAATATTCCCATATATAAGTTCAGTACTGTCAAAATAATTATTACCGGCATCAAAATATATGTTAAGAACCACAGCATGTTCAAATAAATAATAAAAATGAATATTCACATTACAATTTAAATCTATTCATTGTGTAATGATAACTTAATAAAATACATTGTGATGAGTGGGGGCGGGGCCGAGAGCCGTGGGAATGGAGTGGGGGCGGGGCCGAGAGCCGTGGGAACGGAGCGAGGCCGGTGGAGTAACTGATAATGAGCGACACCTGCACCACTCACCGGTCTCGAGTCTCACGGAGGAGCTCCGGAAGGATAAAAGGGAGGAGTGACGACAGTGTCGGACGAGAGAGGACCAGGCCTGCTCCTCCGTGAGACTCGAGACCGGTGAGTGGTGCAGGTGTCGCTCATTATCAATTACTCCACCCGCCCCCACTCGTCACATACATATTTAAAATATTCACACCAGTATTTAAATCTTTCATTTTTGTAATGATAACATAATAAATATAAAGATGTAAAATATTTACACCAGAATTTATATCTATTAATTGTGTAATAAATTACTTAATAAAAGAATATTAAATATTTCCATTTGTAATAATAACATAATATATATAAAAATTGAACATTCACATCAATTTGAAATATTAATTTTGTAATTATAACGTAATAAAAAAGTAAAATATTCACATCAGAAATTAAATCTTTTCATTTGTAATTATAACACAATACATATAAAATGTGTATTGTGATTTTGTACCAACTACGATTTTATTCACATTAAAATTTGAATCTAGTAATTATGTAATATTTTGAGTAAATTATAGCATAGTGTTAAATGAAGTAGTCTTCAGCTGTGGTCAACAAAATCAAATATAGTGATTTATAAATCAATTATACCCCAAAATACCCTATGTGTTGTGTGTTTATGGGTGATTCGTATTGAAAATAAAATGTATATGTATTCCATGAAAACAACATGTCAATTTCATTTTATTATAATATATTTGTACTTTTTTTAAATTCAAATGCCGAGTCCAGTTTGGCACCTCAGTGGAGGAACTGAATTAGAATGGACAGTAAATGTGGTTCTGAATAGCTTTTGCTGTGTTTTGTCAGGATGAGAGCACAGGTCTGCCGCGGCCCAGTTCTGCACACAGACTTTCACCAAACTGGAGCTTCCTAGACTGTGAGTCACTTCATCTGTGCCTTCTCTGTGTCAGTAAATGCTTCTGAATAATTTAACCGCTGACATGTTTATTCCGTTTCCAGCTACATCAGCTGACCGCTTTTATCGCATAGACAAGGCTCAGGTATTATGACCATACAGTATGCCTTATAAAAAATTTAAACGCTAACAGGAAGCTGCATAATGTGCACTTGTGTGTACAAACAGGAGCACCTGCACTTTGTGACCGAAATATGCCAGGATGAGGTTTTCATCCTGGACCACGAGGCCCCAGCGGTGAGCCAGGTCCGGGTCCCAGGAATGCCAGACGTGGTGGTGGAGCCCAGTTCCGGGTGAGACTGTTTCTGTTCACTCCTGACAGGTTTAAACCTAGCTAATTGCATAACAAACAAAGCTGACCTTTTATTTTACTCTGGTTTCCTTATTGCAGGGTTGCCCTGACCTCTGACGAACAAGGTAAAGTACAAACGCATATTTTTCTGAAGTGGTGGAGAGATAGGAAACAGGTCTGGACTGTTTAGAAATGGAGCAGGTTTTCTTTAGAGGTTGATGTATTCTGTCAGAGGTAATGTGATAAACCAAAGTCATCGCCACCAGAAATTCCCACATGCATGTCATGCATTTCTTAGGATACCTCATCGTTACTCATTGTTTTGACAAAATCTCAACTGTTTTCCAGCTCTCCTGTCGGCTGCTGTTAAAGGAGATGTAGAGGCGGTAAGAGTTTTTGCATCTCCTTGTTTTATGAGTTTGAAAGTGGAAGTGTTTCCGAGAAGTGACTTGCACAACTCGTTTGTTTTCTGATTGAAAGCACCAATGCATCGTCACTCATTCGGACTCATGGTCTGTCCCGTGTGTCACAGGTGTCGGGCTGCTGCGCCGCCGGGGTCGGTCTGCTGGTGCGGGACTCTACGGGCTGCACCGCTCTGCACCTGGCCGCCCAACACGGCCACACGGAGATCGTGACTTTTATTCTGGAGCACGGTGAGTGAGAGACGAGCCCATAGACACGCACACTCCCGTGTTTGAGTACGTAACGTTCAAAGTTTGCTTGTCACATGCTCAGCTGGGATAGAAGGGAAATTTTTGTGCGTGAGTTACAATCCAATGTCTAACCAAAACCAAAAGCAGTTAAGAGTAAATAACTGTTTCTAAATATATAATGGCCCCAAAGGGTATTTTCGAATCAAATCACATCAAATCAAATAAAATCAAAGTAAACCTAAAATCCAAACAAATGAAATCAAATATAATTAAATCAAATCCAATTAAATCGGTCAAATAAAATCAATGTATTTTATATGATATGCATATATACAAAAATATTTTGTATAGAGTATTTCAGTTTTGTCAATATACAAAATGTCAATATACATTTTTTAATTTCTTAGATGTCCAAATACATTTTGGTGCATAAAATAAAATCAAAATGTATTTTTTATATGCATATATGTAAAAATTTATTTTTGTTTTTAAAGTTTAAATGCTTCTAAATGTCACATTGCATTTTTAATGTCTTAAATGTCCAAATACTTTAGAAATGAACTCTTTACATGTAAATAAATGTAATCATTGATTTTTGTATGATATAATTATTATATTATATAATTATTATTGTATTATATACAAAATATTTTTGTATAAAATATTTTAAGTTTTTAAATGCCAATTGACATTTTTTAAATGTCCAAATACTTGAGACATAAATTATTATTAAATTACATTTTTTTATTATTTATTATTACATTTTTTACATATCTATCTGTCTATCTATCTATCTATATATATGTGTGTGTGTTTATATATACTATTTATTTTATAAAATGTATTTATAATTATATATATATATATATATATATATATATATATACG